TTAGAATCTTCATACATATATTTTTTTAAATTGTTTTTTTATTCTTAAAAGTTTTTAATAGTTCGAGGCTGGGCATAGTGGCTCACGCCTGTGATCCCAGCACTTTGGGAGGCTGAGGTGGGCGGATCACATGGTCAGGAGATCGAGACCATCCTGGCTAACATGGTGAAAATCCATCTCTACTAAAAATACAAAAAATTAGCTGGGCATGGTGGCGGGTGCCTGTAGTCCCAGCTACTCTGGGAAGCAGGAGAATGGCATGAACCCAGGAGGCGGAGCTTGCAGTGAGCCAAAATCGTGCCACTGCACTCCAGCCTGGGCGACAGAGCAAGACTCTGTCTCAAAAAAAAAAAAAAAAGTTTTTACTGGTTCGAAACCCAAAAGCTACAAAAGTATATGGGAAAAGTCTCTCTTCTATCACTGCCTGTGCTTCCCAGCTTCCCAGTGCCCCTCTATAAAATTCCAAGTAAAATTCCAAGTGTTACTTGGAATTTTATAAGGAATTTGTATATCCTCTTTCAGTGGTATTCATGCGTGTACAAACAAGTATATTCCTTTGCTCCCTCTTTCTTTTACTCACTTGGTAGCTCCCACACACACTTCCCCACCTTGCTCTTGTCATTTAATGATATGTTGGAGATCAATACCAAAAGAGAAAACTCTTCCTCAGTATCTTTTCATGCCCTCATGGTATTCCATTGAGTGGATAAATCATACTGCTTCTAATATTTTACTATTGGTATATGATATATGTACAATACTTGAACATACATCATTTCACATATATATATGAATATATAGCATACATTTTTTAAATAGTTGCTTAATCAAAGGGCATAACTTTGATAGATATTGCCAAATTGTCTTTCATAGAGGTTTATGAATTTACCTCTCCATCGCCAATATATGAGAGTATTCGTCCACACATTTGCTAATGCAATATACTGTCAGACTTTCAGATCTTACCTATTTGATAGGTTGAAAAGTAGAACCAGCATATAATTAACTATGAGTCTGAGCTCTAGATCTGTCTTTTGTTTTCTGTAAATTGTTGATATATTTTGCCTGTTTTTCTTCGGGTCATGGGCTTTTTTAGTTGTAGGAGTTTATTATTCATTAACGAAATTAGCCCTTTTATCTGCCATATAATTTGCAACAATTTTATATCAGCTTTTTAATTGTATTTTGGCTGCTGTTAACAATAGTTATGGCCGTGCAGAAATGTGGGATTTTATCTGGCATAGTTGTTTCTTTCTTTCTTTCTTTCTTTCTTTCTTTTTTTTTTTTTTTGAGACAGAGCCTAGCTCTGTCGCCCAGGCTGGAGTGCAGTGGCATGATCTCAGCTCCCTGCAACCTCTGCCTCCCAGGTTCAACCAATTCTCCTGTCTCAGCCTCCCAACTAGCTGGGACTACAGGCGCCCACCATCACACCTGGCTAAATTTTGTATTTTTAGTAGAGACAGGGTTTCACCATATTGGTCAGGCTGGTCTCGAACTCCTGACATCAGGGGATCTGCCTGCCTCGGCCTCCCAAAGCACTGGGATTACAGATGGGAGCTACTGTGCTTGGCTCACTTGTCTCTTTTTGATGGCTTCTAAGTTTTGTGTCATTGTTAGAAAGTAACTCCTCATCTCTCTCCCCGAAATAAAAGCTTTCATCTACAACTTTAACTTTATGGTTTTTTTTGTTGTTAATTTTTTTCTTACGTTTGAATTTTTGTTTTTTTGTTTTTATTTAATTATTTATTTACTTTGAGATGGGATCTTGCTGTGTTGCCTGGGCTGGAGTGCAGTGGCGCCATGCAGCCTCTGCCTCCTGGGCTCAAGCGAGCCACCTGCCTCAGCCTCCCTAAGTGCTGGGATTACAGGCCTGAGCCACTGCGCCTGGCCTGAATTTTTGATCTTTTAGAAATTCATCTAGGTATGAAATATGGTATGACTTCACAGCTGTTTTTTTCTAGAAGCGTGTCCAGAATCCATTTATTGAATAAACATATTTTTTCTGAATGGTTTGAAATGTCACTTAAGTACTGCTTATATTAAACACTGTATTCCATAATTACACAGCTTTAATTATTATAGCTTAATGATGTATTTTTCTTCTCTTTCAGGACTTTCTGGTTTGTTCTTGTTTGTTTTTCCCTATAAACTTTAAAATCAACTTGTCTAATTCTCATATAACTCTTGGTATTTTTATTGGAATTTTGGAATTTGATAACTAAATCAAGGATAATCTCCTTTCTTATGATAAATTATTTCTAACTAAGAACATGTTTGAAGTGGGGTGTGTTTTAAAACATCTTCAAATAGATCATTTTTCGTATTAAATTTATTCTTAGGTGTTTTGTCTCTTTTGTTATAGTTTGTGTTAGTATGCTAGGGCTACCATAATGAGAGACCACAGACTGGGTAGCTTAAACAACAGAAACTAATTTTCTCACAGTTCTAGAAGCTGCAAGTCCAGGATGAAGGTGCTGGCAGGTTTGGTTTCCTCTCAAGTCTCTCTCCTTGGCTTGTAGACGGGAGCCTGCTTGCTGTGTCCTCACGTGGTCTTTCTCTATGTGTACACATCCCTGGTGTCTTTATGTCCAAATTTCATCCTCTTATAAGGATATCAGCCAGATTGGGTTAGGATCTACCCACATAACCTTAATTACCTCTTTGAAGGCCCCACCTCCAAATACAGTCACATTCTGAGGTACTGGGAGTTAGGGCTTCAACATATGAATTTGGATAGAGGAGACAGTTTAGCCCATAACAATGGTAAATGAAAAATTTTCTTTCTTATATCTACTAATTGATATTTATATATGTGAAAGTTATTTGTGTATTTTATTTCATACCTAGCCACCCCGCTTATAATTTATAATAGTTTTTACTTTATTCTCTTAGTTTTTCCAGGTATAAAATTATATTATTTATAAATAATGATCACATTGCCTCCTCCTTTCTAGTTTTTATAACCTTTATTTCTTTTATCTAATTGCAGTCTAGAGCTGTTGAAATGGTTAACTAAGAGTGGTGGCAGTAGATACTCTTCTTGTATCCCATATTTTAATGAAAATATTTCTGGTGACTTTTGGTGTTTCTATTAAGCATGATGTTTGCTTTTGGATTGTGATATAGATATATAGCATCTTTAAGGACTCCATCTATTTGTATTTTATTACAGTTCTTAAAAATCAAGAGTGAATACTTTTATCAAATGCCTTTGTGGCATTTATGAGGATGATCATATGTTTTCCCTTTGATCTAATAATATGTTGAATTTATAAATAAATTTACTGATATTGAACCATGCTTGCATTCCCCTGTTTGGTCCTGGCCTATTCTTTTAATTTGGTGTTGAATTCTGTTTGCATACAAATTCCTAAATGAGACATAAATAAATAGTTTCTTTATGGAGCCTTTGTTAAGTACGATTTTATTCTTGCTTTATATCAATAATTTTAATAGCTTTCTTTTTGTGTGTTTTCAGACAATTTGAAATTATGTGTTCTTTAATGGTTTATTAGCATTTTCCTATGAAACTCTTGGGTCTAGTGCTTTCTGAGAGGAGGTGGCTCTTTGACAACTTTGTTTCTTCTATAATATATCTGTTTAAATTTTTTTATTTCCTCTGGAGTCAATTTTGTTAAATTACATTTTCCTATCAATTGTTTCCATTGGTTTTCAAGTCTGTTTGCATGGAATTGAGCAAAGTAGTCTTTTTAAGATTATTTAATTTTTCTCTATTTGCATCTGTTTATTATCGTTTCTGTGTCTGTGTATTTGCTGTTTTCTTCCCTTTGTTGTTTTGATTAGACTGGAGTCTGGACTATTCCTTTTTCAGTAACCAACTTTGGGTTATTCTGCTATTTTTTGTCTTAACAAATACTTTATTTCTTCTTTTATCTTTTTTTTTTTTTGGAGACAGAGTCTTACTCTATTGCCCAAGCTTGAGTGCACAGTAGCACAATCTTGACTCACTGCAACCTCCACCTCCCCGGTTCAACTGATTCTTCCTGTCTCAGCCTCCCGAGTACCTGGGACTACAGGTGCCTGCTACCACGCCCGGCTAATTTTTGTATTTTTAATAGAAATGGGGTTTCGCCATGTTGGCCAGGCTGGTCTTGAACCCCTGACCTCAGGTGATCTGCCTACCTCAGCCTCCCAAAGTGCTGGGATTACAGCCACCACACCCAGTCTATTCTTCATTTTCTTTTCCTTAGGTTTGCTTTATTGATTGATAATACAATTGATATTTCTAGTTAGTCATTATTCTATTGATTTGATTTAAGGCTTTTTGTTCTATAGAAGTTTTAAATTTTTAATAGTCAAAACTATCAGTCTTTTCCTTTCATTGCATCTTATTTTCACATTACTCTTTTAAAAAGTTCATCTACATCACCACCACCCTTCCCCCGCCATTGTACAAATGCTCTTCATTCTTTCGTATTTTAGAAGATGACTAACGTCAGCCAAATGTCTATCATCATATCTATCTAGATAGATAGATATGTCTCAATGTATAGAGTATAAATTTATTGTCAAATTTTCAGGAGTGTGTTTTTTCCACATAATAAGAAAATTACCTATAAAACCTTATAAGTGAGAACATCAAATTTGTAGAATTATTTTACTCTTACTTTATTTAAAAGATTTTGGGCCGGGTGCGGTGGCTCATGCCTGTAATCCCAGCACTTTGGGAGGCTGAGGCAGCAGATCACCTGCAGCCTGACCAACATGGTGAAACCCCCTCTCTACTAAAAATGCAAAAATTACCTGGGCATGTTGGCACATGCCTGTAATCCTAGCTACACGTGAGGCTGAGGCAAGAGAATTGCTTGAACGTGGGAGGCAGAGGTTGCAGTGAGCCAGGATCACACCATTGCACTCTAGCCTAGGTGACAAGAGCAAAACTCGGTCTCAAAAAAAAGAAAAAGAAAAAGATTTCATAATGGCCTTTAATAGAAAGTTATTTTTATATATTTAAGATGCTTTTCTTTCTGTTCTTCCAGGTTACTCAAATGAGTCGTCCAGACTTGATTCTCTTTCTGATGAAATACTTGATGGCTCTCATAGTTGGCATTCCCTCTGTATTTTGGGTTGGAAGCAAAAAGACATGCTTTGAATGGGCCAGTTTTTTTCATGGTCGTAGGAAAAAAGAGTAAGTTGAAATAAATTATCACAGTGTTCACAAACCTCACATTTACGTAATTTTTTTGTGTGTTGCTTGTGTTAAAATGATTTGGATTTGGAGAATTATTCAAACAAGACTATAACATTTTCAGCAGTATCCAGTTATGATTGGCACAGTAGCATGTCTTAATTTAAAACTAAAAACTTATTTTGAGAAGACGGCCAAGTAGTCCCGAAGATGACCAAGCCTCCTGTACTAATTCAGAGTATTTGAAGGAAGTCCAATCTTTGTGAAAAAAATTCAAATTGTAATTTTCTTAAAAGCAAATTAATGCTTTTCTCTACATTCTTATCCGATCTTCCTGATATTCCTTTGAAGGTTGACATACATTCTTATCTCTCTTTTACAAATGAGAAAACCAAGATAGTGGTTAAGTGCTTGGCCAAAGTCACACAGGTATTTACTGATAAGAGCTAGATAAACTTCTGTCTCCAGTTGTCCATTGTTCTTCCAAGTGTACCAAAAGTGACATAAAGAAATACTCTTATTCCATTCTAATATAGTACATGTTAAAGCCAAATAGAAAAATGATATTAGTAGATTAATTGAAATGTGTTAGAGGTTGTTTAATTCATAGTTGGCCATACTGCATATTACAGTGTGATTTGAGGGCATATTTAAGGAATCTTTGAATGTTTGTACCTTAGTTTGTAAAACAAAACAAAACAAGACCCTTCAGTTTTCACAGTGGAACAAATGATTTCAGACTCTACTTAGTTTTAAGTCTCATAGGTATCTCTGTCTGAGTTATCACAAACTCTGAGTTAGTGGATTGTATATTTCTTATGATTTTACTTAACCTAGGATCCATGAAAGAATGATTTTTTTGTGGGGTAGTCTGTAAATATTTTAAAATTGTATGTAGAATGTGCCTAGTACTGGTTAATGTCATTTTCTCATGAGATACAATTTGAAGTTACTTTAGTTTCTGCCTCACTAATAAAGTTTATATTCACTAAAATACCAGTAATTAACAATTTCTGTTACACAAATTATATTAACATCACAGTTTAATATAGAGTCAGCCTTTTGTATCTGGGGGTTCCATATCAGTGGATTCAACCAACAATGGATCAAAAATATTTGGGAAAAAAAAAATTCAAGAAAATTCCAAAAAGCAAAACTTGAATTTGCTGCATGCTGAGCACTACACTGAATCTATGCAAATAAAGTGATGTATTAGGTACTGTAAGTAATCTAGAGGTGATTTGAAATATACAAGAGGTTGTATGCAAATACTACGCCATTTTATATAAGGACTTGAGCATCCTCGAATTTTGGTACCCGCAGGGGGTCTTGGAACCACTCTCTTGAGGAAATTGAGGGATGACCGTATACATTTCTTATTCTGATATCTGAGACTGCTACTAGTGATATCAGATCATGCATTTCTCCTTTAAATATAATTTCGTAGAGCAGAGAAGGAAAGAAGGGGATGAGCTCACTCAATAGCAACCAAAAACATTTATCTTCTGGGCATATTCATTCTTTGAACAACGAGAACACTTGGACACAGGAAGGGGAACATTACACACCAGGGCCTGTTGTGGGGTGGGGGCAGCGGGGAGGGATAGCATTAGGAGATATACCTAATGTAAATGACGAGTTAATGGGTGCAGCACACCAACATGGCACAGGTATACGTATGTAACAAACCTGCATGTTGTGCACATGTACCCTAGAACTTAAAGTATAATTAAAAAAAAAAAAAACAAAAGAAAGTCTTGTTGAATGCTTACTATGTGCCACCAACTACCTTTGGATACCAGTGATTTGATAGCAAACAGAACAGGCCAAGACCCTGCTCTCTTAGAGTTTCCTCCCTTTTGGGATTTACTGTGATTTATTTGTGTATTCTTCAGAAAACTGTATTGTAATCACAGTAAAACACGATGCTGAGGAAAGGACTTGAATTAAACATTCCTGGACACCTCTGGGCCATATATAAATAATTCTGTAATAGAGTTGCATTAGAAATTCCAGATAGAGCTAAACTGAAGCTTTCCTTATAGAGATTTATCCTAGTTAGTTGGCGGGGATACTGGTTGGGCCCAAATCCTTCTGAAACTGGTTAAAACTCTCGGGCCCTTCCATTTGGTTTTCTGCAGCTGTGGATTTCCAACCAACAGTCCTTGTCATCTTCCAAGCCAGAATGTGCTCTGAGCTGGAGTGGCAGCCCCTTATTCTGGCATTCAAGAGTGTGGGCACCCTTTGGCTATTTCTAGCATTTGTCTGGTTAGCCTTTGGGAAACGACTATAAGATAATCATAATAATGGGTACTAATTTATTGGGCATATTTAATACTCAAAGACTGTTCTAAGCACTTTACACATTAAATCATTTAATGCTGTAAACAGCCTTGTGAGGGAGGACATCATTTTACAGATAAGGAAACTGAGGCATAGAACCAAGATTTCATAACAAGTGATTGCTGACATATAGATTCAAACCCAGACAGTCTGACTCCAGAGCTTTGCTTTTAACTGCTTTGTTATACTATGCTGTAGATTCGTTTCTAATATTGTGCTAATCAAATTAATGTTCTCCCCTTAAGTGAAGCCAGATTTAAGACCATACTTATGCTAATAATTCTGACATAGATTTAAATATTTTTAGAAATCCTCTTTTGGATTACCTGGGTCATTTCACTTAATTTCTCTGGACATTATCTGTAAAATGAGGGGACAAACCTTCACCATTTGAACGTGAGTTAAACTTTTGGGACAACTAGAAGTCAGTTTTAACCAAGTTTAGAAAATAAAGTCGGCCGGGCGCGGTGGCTCAAGCCTGTAATCCCAGCACTTTGGGAGGCCGAGACGGGTGGATCACGAGGTCAGGAGATCGAGACCATCCTGGTGAACACAGTGAAACCCCGTCTCTACTAAAACTACAAAAAACTAGCCGGGCGAGGTGGCGGGCGCCTGTAGTCCCAGCTACTCGGGAGGCTGAGGCAGGAGGATGGCGTGAACCCGTGGGCGGAGCTTGCAGTGAGCTGAGATCAGGCCACTGCACTCCAGCCTGGGCGACAGAGCGAGACTCCGTCTCAAAAAAAAAAAAAAAAAAAAAAAAAGAAAATAAAGTCAACAACCAAGAATGACTTGGTAGGATGTATGTATATATGTGAATAAGGTCATTGATGACAGAGGAACGAATCCAGATTTTTTTTTTCCACTATTTTTGACTTGTTCTTTTTTCTGTCATGTTTTTGACACTTTGTTTTCCAGATATATATAAACACTGTTTTATCATTACCTTGTGATTAGCCTCTAAGAGTTTAAACTTAAGTTTGATCCTTGACTGTTGGTTTTGTTGTGTGATTTTTTGAAAGTTCTTTAATCTCTTAAAACTTTAGTTTCTTTGTATATGAAATGGGGATTATAATGTCTGTTATTAATAGATATCCAATATTCCCTTAGAAATATACTCTTAGGACATGAATCTCTGTAATGATGACATTATTAAGGGGATTCAAAGAAGAATATATATAAAGTACTCGATAAATACTAGACTTCCTTCAGCCCACCTACCCCAACATGAAAAACAACAGCAATAATGACAATCCTTTTGTAATGTGAAAATTTATAATATATGTAATTTCTCAATATATGATCCAGTCTTTACATGCTGGAGTTTTATTTTTGAAGTGAAATTGATGATCTGATTTTAACTTTATGATTTTTCATAGTAAGTCCTTTATTTACATAATCCAAGACACTAACCTTTACAACTGTTTAGCTCATGTATTAATTTAATTACTGCCTTGTTCATCATCATAAGCCATCTGTCTACTTAATCCTTTGATAGCAGTTAGAATTTTTTGTTTTTGACAATAATTTTTCCCCTAAATGTTTCCCTTTAAGCTTCTAATATGTCTGAGACTTAATTGTAACTTTAATTTTTCATTTTGTTTTATTCTAATTATGACTGCTCATGTTTATTCCAGCACTAGACAACTGCTTCTGCATAAAATCAACTCGTACACTAAAACAACTGCTCTTACAACTTAAATGTTGTATCCATGCTGCTACAGTGAAGCCTCAGTATACTAGTTATATAAACCATGCAAGAAAACAATTTTTCTATTTTAGAGTTATGTCTTCATAATAGTTCAGTATCTTGAGAATGACAAATTTCTTTGGCTGAAAGGGACCTTTTAGAAATGATGAAATTGTATACCTTCATTTTATAGATGAAGAAATGAAAGGAAGAAGAGATAATGACATGCTTAAGATCACGTTTTTGTTGATAAAGTTGGAACTAAAATCCTGATTTCCTTATTGTAACACAGGCCTTTTTCCATCATACCACCTTAGGGGACAGATTGACATGGATTGTTGTTATAGTCTTTCCTCTGTCAACAATGTTTCTTCATATCAGTCCTATAGATCTAATTTGGCGAGCAATTAATTTCAAGAATAATATCAGTGTTGCACAGAAGTATTGCTTATTGGTCTGTGGGAAGATTGGTATGTATGTTAAACTTACTATTCTGTTGTCTAGGATAGTGAATGAGAGCCGACAGGTACTCCAGGAACCTGATTTTGCTCAGTCTCTCCTGAGGGATCCAAATACTCCTATCATAAGAAAGTCAAGGGGAACTTCCACTCAAGGAACATCCACCCATGCTTCTTCAACTCAGCTGGCTATGGTGGATGATCAAAGAAGCAAAGCAGGGAGCGTCCACAGCAAAGTGAGCAGCTACCACGGCAGCCTCCACAGATCGCGTGATGGCAGGTGAGTTTTGTTAGTAGTGTAGTTTATTTCATAAGCTGAATTATGGTCATACAGCTTAAGAAAGAAGAGCAGCCAATAGAAGTTGAACATAATTAAGCCTTTGAACTTTGCTAGATAGAGTTGTCCAGACTATGGTCAGACTTAAAGTCAGTCAGAGTTGTTTAGATTTGATGCGGTAAGCAATATGGGAGTTATTGCAGGGGATTGAGCAGGGAGAAGACCGGGTAAAAGTGGTTATTTTAGTAAGACTAATTTAGTAAACAATTATGGAACACCTGCTACATCTGGCACTGTGCTAGGCCCTAAGAATACAAAGATGACTTAGGCATGATCTTTGCTCTTAATAAGCTCACAGTCTGTTTAGAAAGAAGTGTAGTCAGTTTGTGGTTTAGAACATGGATCTGGAATGATAAGCCTCAGTTTCCTTATTTATAAAATGAAAATAGTAATATCTGCCTCTTTAATAATGTTGTACAAATTAAATGAGATAGCCTACCTAATTCCTTGGAACAGTGCCTGCCTCAGCGAGTACCTCATATCAGCTTCTATTATTGTAATTGACAAAGCAACATATAAGTATGATAGTATAGTTCAGGAGTTAGCAAACGTTTTCCGTAAAGAGTCAGATAGTAAATATTTTAGGCCTTATGAGCCATATGGTCTCCATTGCAACTATTTGAGTCTGCTGTTGTAGCATGAAAGCAGTCGTAGACAATATGTAGTCAAATAGAAGTAACTGCATTCCAATAAAACTTTATTTGCAAAAATAGGATTTGGCCAGCAGGCCTTAGTTTGCCAACCCCTGTTTACTAGGTACAGTAGTAGCATAGAGGAGGGAGTGATTAATTCTGGTGGCTGGGGAGGGGTTGGTTTCACAGAGAAAATGTTTGAGAGAAGCCTGGCTGTGCGTTTCTTGTTAAATTTGAAAAATGAGACACTAGAATTAGAAACTGCTTGGGATTTTTTCAGTAATTTATTTGAGAGATGATAAAGGCCTTTAGGAGAATGGTGGCAGTGGGAGGAGAGGAAGAGCTGACCTGAAAGATATTTAGAAAGAAGAAATGATGTAGCCAGATGTGGTGGCAGGTGCCTATAATCCCAGCTACTCAGGAGGCTGAGGCAGAAGAATCACTTGAACCCCGGGAGGTGGAGGTTGGAGTGAGCTGACATCATGCCACCGCACTCCAGCCTGGGCAACAAGAGCAAAACTCTGTCTCAAAAAAAAAAAAAAAAGAAGAAGAAGAAGAAGAAAGAAGAAATGATAGAGATTGGTAAGAAATTAATATTAGCAGCTAGAGAAAAGGAATGTGCTAAAGACTTTTTTGGGATTTTTTTGTTTGTTTGTTTGTTTTAAGATTTCTAGTTTGGGAAACTGAAAGAATGGAAATTATAATGCCTGAAACTGACAGGATTCTGTGTTCACTTGAAAACATCTGTTTCCACAGCTGTTTCTGTCCTGTCAGTCTCAGTCTTCTCCCTGTCCTCCTAGTGTAGGATCCGATTCTCTGTACTTTCCTTTTTTAATCTTCTGTTTTTTCCTCTTAACTTGTTTTCTTTTACTTTCTGTTGGTCAGCTACCCTGTGTTTAAAAGAGCAGCAGTCTTTCTTTGATGCTGATTTATCTTGTATCCATTTCCTTTTCCTTTCCTGGCTAAATTTTGGAAATAACTATTTTGAATATTTTTCTTCCTAATCCATCCTTTATGCCTTGAAAGTGTAGTCTTTTTCTCCTCTCTACCTGCCTGAACTGTACCCTCTAACATCACCAGTGACTTCATTTTAACCACAAGGATCCTTTCTCATTCCTTCCTCCTTTTGTTCCACTTAGCGCTCCTATATGAGAAGCATTCTTCTAAGTGCTGGGGATGCAGAGAAGGAAGACAAAAGAGTAAACAGTCAATTACAATACACTTCAGTAGGTATAGTAAAAATGTGTACAGGGTGCATTGGGATCTCAGAGAAGAAAACCATTTAATAAATCATAGAAAGTGAAAGCTTCAGGCCGGGCGCGGTGGCTCAAGCCTGTAATCCCAGCACTCTGGGAGGCCGAGGCGGGCGGATCACGAGGTCAGGAGATGGAGACCATCCTGGCTGACACGGTGAAACCCCGTCTCTACTAAAAAAAAAATACAAAAAACTAGCCGGGCGAGGTGGCGGGCGCCTGTAGTCCCAGCTATTCGGGAGGCTGAGGCAGGAGAATGGCGTAAACCCGGGAGGCGGAGCTTGCAGTGAGCTGAGATCCGGCCACTGCACTCCAGCCCGGGCGACAGAGCGAGACTCCGTCTCAAAAAAAAAAAAAAAAAAGAAAGTGAAAGCTTCGCAAGAGATGTCTCTTCTACAGAGGAGGCAGTTGGGAGTTAAAGACAAGGAAACAGCACATGCAGAGGCAACGAAGACAGGCAGGTAGTTAGGTACGTGGGTATGGCTAGAGCATAGACTGCATGTTTGGGCAACTGACGGAGAGGAATTCATACTGAGGAGTTTGCATTTTTCCCTCACAGCAGTGAGAAACTATCATAGGACTTCAGGCATTGAAGTGAGAAAATCAGATTTGTATTTTAGAAAAATCACTTGGCAATAGCATCGGAATGAAGAAAATTGTGAGTAAGACTAGTTAGGAAGTTTCTACAGTAATTTAGGGGTCCCAGCTAAAAATACTGATAAGGAGGGAGGGAATCAGAATTCTTTTAACATATATTTATCAGTCACCACCCTCCATGAACTCAGCTTTATTTGACGTTATCGGCCTTATCCTTTCTTTATTTCTTTTATTTATTTATTTTTTTTTTTTTTGAGGCCGAGACTCACTTTGTTGCCCAGGCTGGAGTGCAGTGGTACTATCTCAGCTCACTGCAACCTCTGCCTGCCAGGTTCCAGCGATTCTCATGCCTCAGCCCCCTGAGTAGCTAGGATTACAGGTGTGTGTCACCACACTCAGCTAATTTTTATTTTTATTAGAGACGGGGATTTGACATGTTGGTCAGGCTGGTCTCGAACTCCTGGCCTCAAGTGATCTCCCCATCTCAGCCTCCCAAAGAGCTGGCACAGGCATGAGCCACCATGTCCGGCCTGGCCTTATCCTTTCAATGATGAATGAATAATTATTTATAGTATAATATCTATGCATGTGACATACTGTGTATAAAGATGTATATGGAAGGAAAGTAAGATGTAATTTATGCATTCTAGGAGCATATAACCTTATAGGAAAGATAAGATGTGTATGGAAGAAAAGTAACATGTAATTTATGCATTCTAGGAGCATATAACCTTACAGGAAAGATAAGACATATACATATGAACCAATTAAATAATAGCACAAACCAGGATATAATTAAGACAGTGAGGGTTAAAGATAATAGATGTAGAACTGCAGGAAAGAGAAAGGTCAGATTGGTTCATGAAAATATCTTAGAGGAGATAAGTAGGGTGAATGAACAGTAAAAGATGAGTTTACATTAAGTAGAGAATTTCTGAGGGCAGTTAAAAATAGATTTCAGCCACTCTCATCTGAATAGAGCTGTAGCTTAGATAAGAAAGTTTACAATCATCAATACGAGGTAGTTGGCAATTAAAATTGTGAGCTAGAATCCCTTGAGTCACTATTAAAAAAAGAACAACAGGCCAAAAACAAGACCTTGGGAAATATTCACAGTAATAATAATACAGGAAGAAGAACAATGGGCATGTGAGTCAGAGAAATTGCTTATCATTCTTTTTGTTATGATCTATTTTCTGTATAATTGTCTTTCCTCAGCTAAGTTTGCAGCTTCTAGAAAATAAGAACTAAGTGACACCATATTCCTTCACAGTATCTAGCACAGTGCTAGGCATGTATATAGTAGGGAATGTACACATCTATCAAATAAATAATGACTTTAGAAATAATGTGGATGTTTCCCAGAAATTCAGGAGCCAGAATGACAGTGGCACCCTACTGAAGGTGTTTTGTAATGTGGCGCACGAGTACTCATACTGTAGGACTCTTTGCTGTACCTAGAACTTTAGGGCAGATTTGAGATTCCAAGACTATGGTGAACCAGAAGTCTGAACAAGGATTGTCGTAATTTGAAAAGCCATCTCATGGAGATTTCCTTCTGCTTGTCAGTTTTTAACTTTGTGTGTCAACACTATGTTTTGGTCATTTTCTAGTCATCTCATTGGCTGTGGGATCTCACACACACACACACACACACACACACACACACACTTCCCAGTACTCACTCTGGCCCAGATTCTTTGCTGGATAATTATTGATCTCTGTGCTATATAAAACAAAATAGGCTGAGGTGAATACACCTACACACATATGTCAGCTTCAAAGAATAAGTAATTGGTGGTTAGATGAGAGGGTGGGTGAAAAAGGAAGTGAATAAGTAGGTAGGTGGAGGTTTGGGAATGAATGATTAGGTTGGTAAGTGGGTGCCATGACAAGAAAAAGCTAGGGAATAAATAAGGAGGTATTAGTAAAACTACAGTTAATTCAGTTATTTAGATTAGTGATAGCAAATACTATGGAAACTCAGAAAGAGTCAGTCGTCTTCAAGGTTTTTTTATGTTGACTTTGGAAGGCACCACAGTATCTTTTTGACAATAGCAGCAAATTAACCATCCTAATTGTTTTGTCTAAGCTTATATTAAAATTTATTTACATTTTCACATTGTGTTTTAGAGTCAGTGGTCCCAGTGGTTTAAATGACTGTCAAAAAATAAACTTGGTAATTCCTACATATACAGTTGAGATTAAACAGTATATTTAAATTTACTTTTCTATGTAGTTGACTCTTAATTATCCATGGGCAGGTTGTTCATATTCTAAAATGTTTTGTGGATGGCCATATGTGTCACTTAAGGAATTTAGATAAAATTATTCAATATAGTAAATTTTTCTATGAAAAATATGTTATTTGAGTTTTTGTAACTCAAAGCTTTATATTTCATTTTAGAAAATGCTCAGCTTATGTTTTTATATAGTGATTTTTAAAAGAAAACTTTATATCATTACTAGAAAACTGCATCATATTTTGCTCTTTTCATTTGCCATATTTATTTGAGACAGACGCTTGGGTAGCCATTGAGAGGTGAAAGATCTCCAAATCAGCTGCCAAGTCATATTTGGAAACTTGGAAAAATCTTCTACTCAGTTTTAAGGCAACAACCATTATGCAGAATAATAATTATTAGACTAGAATAACAAGCCCATTCTGAAATGTTTTCATCTGCAAACATTGTCATTATTTACCGAAACATGCAGAACAAATTTAAAACTGTTTTAGGTCCTAAATATGAAGTTATCTTTTAATGAATGAGAAATAACATTTTACCTATTAACATGAGAAATGTTTAAAATATTTATCTTTTCATATTTAACTTTTCTTTTTTGCTTTACTGAAACAAAAATACATGTTTTTGTTTTTTGAGACAGAGTGTCGCCCTAGTCGTCCAGGCTGTAGCAAAGTGGTGCGACCTCGGCTCACTGCAACCTCTGCCTCCAAGGTTGAAGGAATTCTCCTGCCTCAACCTCCCAAGTAGCTGGGATTACAGGTGCCCACCACCACGCCCAGCTAATTTTTGTATTTTTAGTAGAGACGGGGTTTCACCGTGTTCGCCAGGCTGCTCTTGGACTCCTGACCTCAGGTGATCTGCCCTTCTCAGCCTCCCAAAGTGCTGGGATTACAGGCCAGAGCCACTGCGCCCGGCCAAAATACATGTTTTTTTGAAAAAATAATTTTCAAAGGACTTCTCAAGTTTTAAACTCTGATCTAATGAAAATGTTACTAGAAGATCACCTCTGTGGTGTATGAATCTATCTTTAAATTTTATAAATAATTCACACAGAGTCATGAAATTTGTTACAATTATTTTTGTGAAGGAATGGTGGATTAACGCTTTCTGACAGCCAACAGATCTGCAGCTGCTTATGATTAGTTTTTTTGATGACTGTTTTAAAAAAAAAAAAAAAAACCTAGCCTGCTATATATTATTTTTAGAAACGTTACTTAAAACTTAATCTTAATTAAAGTTATAGATTATACTAAGTTTTCTTTGAGGTTTATTATCCTAAATCAAATACTTTTACAAAATGGTATATGTATAGGTGTAAGTATAAACAAAAAGTATTTTAAACAAATACTTCTTGAGGCACTAGGGATTAAAGGATAAAATATGGTCCTTACCTTGAAAGAGCACACTATAAAGCCAGAATCATTGATAAATAGCATGCTAGCTCCATAAGCAAAGGCCTAATAAAAAAGTCATAATTGATTTTCCTGACCTTGACTGGCCTAGAGCTAATCTTATTCCTCATGGCAAAGCTCAGTGAGTCAGGACTGCAACAAAAGAAAATTTAACAGCTCCATTGCTGCTTTCCAAGATAAGTGCAGAGAAGGAGACAGCCTGCAGTTAGCAGAGGGAGCCCAGCTCACAAACTCCAAGCTGGGTCTAGAGCTGAAGGTACAAAGAATTTACTTTAGCCAGAATATAGGTTACAAAGTGTTAGGACGTAACTTCCAAGCAGATGTAGCTTCCATGAAGGAGCATCTTCACAGCCTGAAGCCCTGATGAGAGGTAATTAAGATAATTTACAGGTAGTTAATTCAGTTGTTAACTGGGCTATCTGGAAAGCAGCTTTCGGCACATACTGTCATCATTGCTTGCCAGTTTATTCATTTATTTATTTTTTTAGGTTATACCGATTTCACCTCTGATTTCATATTCTCCCTCTTCCAATCAGAGTCTTTTAATAAAATTTGAGTGTACCCGTCTACTGATCATAGCCACTCTTCTTGGCTGCCAGGGACAATGCCACATTTCTTCTATTTGTTGTTACCCCTCTCCCTGAACCCACCCTGTTCAAAACTCATTTGAATGACAAAGGTATCCATATCTAGTGCAGCTTTAAATCGATCAGCCTTATTTAATCTTAGCTTCTGTCCTTTTGCAGAGAATGAATGGAACCTTAATTCTGAGTGGATTATTTCTTCTCTTTTGTTGGCCATGTCAATAATTCTACAGTGTTAACGAAGTTAAGCAATCAAAAGTTGGTTATTACTTTCTCATGGTTGATTTCCTAATAATTTCCCTTACTGAGGCGTTTTTATGAAAATTATTAGTGTTATTAATTTTCTAGTGTGTTCTGTTACCCACTTCAAAATAAACTCTCTCGTGACAGGTACACGCCCTGCAGTTACAGAGGAATGGAGGAGAGACTACCTCATGGCAGCATGTCACGACTAACAGATCACTCCAGGCATAGTAGTTCTCATCGACTCAATGAACAGTCACGACATAGCAGCATCAGAGATCTCAGTAATAATCCCATGACTCACATCACACATGGCACCAGCATGAATCGGGTTATTGAAGAAGATGGAACCAGTGCTTAATTTGTCTTGTCTAAGGTGGAAAACTTGTGCTGTTTAAAAAGATTTTATTCTTTGCCTTTTGCATGACTGATTGCTGTAACTCACTGTTAACATGCTTTCAGTCAACTACAGATTGTGTCCACTGGAAAGGTAAATGTTTGCTTTTTATATTGCATCAAACTTGGAACATCAAGGCATCCAAAACACTAAGAATTCTATCATCACAAAAATAATTCGTCTTTCTAGGTTATGAAGAGATAATTATTTGTCTGGTAAGCATTTTTATAAACCCACTCATTTTATATTTAGAAAAATCCTAAATATGTGGTGACTGCTTTGTAGTGAACTTTCATATGCTGTAAACTAGTTGTGAGATAACATTCTGGTAGCTCAGTTAATAAAACAATTTCAGAATTAAAGAAATTTTCTATGCAAGGTTTACTTCTCAGACGAATAGTAGGACTTTGTAGTTTTATTTACACTAAGGGAAAAAAGAACTGTGTTTTTAAACTGTAGGAGAATTTAATAAATCAGCAAGGGTATTTTAGCTAATAGAATAAAAGTATAACAGAAGAATTTGATTAGTCTATGAAAGGTTCTCTCAGCATTCTCTCGAAATAATCTTCATCCAGAGATATTCAGGATTTGGATTAGCAGTGGAATAAAGAGATGGGCATTCTTTCCCCTATAATTGTGCTGTTTTTCTAACTTTTGTAAATATTACTTTTACTGGCTGTGTTTTTATAACTTATCCATATGCATGATGGAAAAATTTTAATTTGTGGCCATCTTTTCCCATGTAATAGTATTGATTCATACAGAACTTAATGTTCAAAATTTGCTTTGTGGAGGCATGTAATAAGATAAACATCATACATTATAAGGTTCTTTGTGGTAACCACACTTACAAAATGGCAAAACGTTTTCTCTGTATTCATTGTTGTATTTTTCTATAGTGAGATGTGATCTTGCCAAAGCCACCAGACCTTGGCTTCCAGGCCCTCCTATAGTGAGTTGATTGTCTGCACTTGCCTTGCCCAATAGCCAGTAGGCTACAGCTTTTGCCCCACACCCTTATTTTCAGATTCTGGATCATTCTTGTTTACAACTGAAATATATATAACCTCAGTCCAAAGTAGTGATTGATTTGATATTGGAAAATCACTGTAGCTAAATGAAGCATGATTAGTAGTCTTACTATGAATATCATTTAATCTTAAAAAAAGTAAAAAATGTTTATCTGGTAATGTTTAAATAATTTACAATATAAACTGTAAACCTTATTAGGCATGAAATAATCAGAAGAGAAAGAAAATTGCTGGAACATGCTGGATGTATTATGTAAAAAGCATATTTAAACAAGGGTCCTCAACCCTGACTGCAGGTAAGAATCACTTGGGTTACTTCAGATGCCTAACACCTTCTCCTCATACAAGTAAGAATTGGTAGCTTTCTTAAAAAGGAAAAAAGCTTTCCAGGTGATTCTAATCTGCAGCCTGGCTTGAAACTCACTACTATAACTTGCCCCTGCTGATCTGATGGCATCATATATCACATGAACATCCACATGGATTCAGTCTTTGGCTTTCATATCATTATCTGATACTCAGTTGTTCTGCATCAGATGCCGAGTTCTGGGCTCCACTCTTAGAGAGACTTAGTAAGGCCAAAGTGATAGGACTTTAAAATCTGTAGTTATAAAAATAACTGCAGGTGATTCTTATGCAGATAATCCAAGAATCATACTTTGAAGATTTATTCTAGACTCTGAAGAGGCCTGGCTCTGCCTTCTGCTATTATAGTTTATGACCTTTAACAATTCAACTTTCCGAGCCTCAGTTCCCTTGTTTGTAAATGAAGATAGAAGATAAATACCTACTCTACCTACCTCACAAAGCTGTCAAATTAAGACCAAGTGAAAAAAAATTCTGTGAAAGCTCTTTGAAAACCATAAAGCATTATGAATGATAAGGGATTAGGTTATTGTGGATTTAAGAGGTGTGAGGACTGCTGTAGTATATTCCTTGACGTGTTGAATTCATGTGTACTTTCTTTCTCACCCTTTAAAACAAAAACTGCCAAGAAGTTAGGTGTTGAAAAAGAATCTTCTCTTCAGGCAGCAAAGTCAGTTTTCTGATAGTAATAATTTGTCTATTATTTTATATATTTCAAAGTACATATATGATAATATGACTTACTCTTCATGGGAGATATTTGAATATTTGGCCCAAAGTGTTTTCAGTTTTTCTCTGTGTTCACTGCCTTGGAACTGGAGTTAATGCTCAAGGCAGGTAGGTCTGAATTCCCTCATAACTGACAATTAATAAACATTTTCTCTGAAAGCCAAACATATAACAACTCATTTATCAATAATTCATGAAGCTTTTGTCTGAGAATCTCTCCTGCAAACAGCATGAGAGAACCAAAACAAACATTCACAAACAAAAATAAGTTAATGTAGAAGGTACCAGTTTGAGCTCGAAGATGTTGTCATTCATTGCCATCTGCATTATATTATCAACTGCCAAAATGTTAATTGGTTTTCTTTTACAAGTGGGCCAAGTATAGACAGTTAAGTGAACATCACTATGAAAATCTTCGTGCTTCTACATTTTTATATATTCATTTGTATTTTCTTTGTCAAATTAATTGTTGGTATGTATGGGAATACTATAGTGACTTTTCAGTTACTTTCAGTAAGTATCTTAATTTTGTCCCACAAAATTTATGTAATATTGTTAATCCATGGTTTTAAACAACAGTATTTAGTTTGGGCAGCAGTTTCAAGTCTCAACTAGCTTAAACCAATCTGAGTAAGTCTGGACAGTTTTCCTACCATATGTTTAACTTTGATTGGCATATGATAATGTTTAGTGTTTTCTTTTTTCAGTTGACAACTGAGAAAACAATAGTTCTCTCTAAAATGTTAATATATTATCAAAAGCTTTTCAAAAAGTACTTTGATTTCAGCAACATTGTTTTATTCAATAATTAGACAAAAGATCTAAGATAATATTAAACTCAAAACAGTTTGTTTCAAAGAACAATTGGTCAATAACTCAGCTGGCACAGGGCTTCATACAGTTTTTCAATAAATATTTAAATGAACAATTCTTGTCACACAACTTGCTTTTACTCTAGTACTGAGTCTCACATCAAAGAAATTGGAAAGATCTAAATTTAACCAATGTATTTGAAATGAAGTCTCTGCTTTACCAGAATAATATATGGCAGGTAATAAGCATGTAAAATACACTGAATGAAACATATTTTGCATAGATAACAGTCCATGTCACTATTGTAATTAAAGAAATATATGTACAGACATGTACCAATCCTTTTAATTAATTTTAGAAGATAAAGAATGATTCTTAGAAGTGAGTAATTAGACTCCTTTTAGTCTTATGCTGTTAGATCTTTGTGGACCAGTTGGGTAAATTAATCTTCAAATCAACCTTCCTTTTTCTGCTGCTCTTAGAGCAGATTTATAAAAATTCTAAGAATGTGTTCAAATTAGAAAAATTTACTACATTTTAACCTACCTCATCAATTTCTTTGTGATAATAGCTGGAAATAACTCAAATTGTACCCATCTTAGTTTAGGCTATATCTCTGTGAAATGAAAGGAACAATTTAATTTTTTTATATAAATTAGTGAATCATTTGCTGGAGCTTAGAAAATATCAACATACCAAAATTTCATTATGATGATATTTATATTGCTTTTTGACATGCCAAAGGTACATTTACATATTACCATATTTGGATGACTTACGTAGTCTAGTGTAATGAAAATTCCCATGGGATTGGAATTTAACTCATGATGTCAACTGGGCTGGTCATTTAATTTCTCTGAGTCTTTGTTTCTTCAGTGTAAAATGTGGATAAGGTAATTTTTGGTTTTAGCGTCCCTCACTGGATATTGTAAGGATCAAATGAAATAACATTTATTATAATGCTCTGTAACCCATAAATTATTCTACTTAAAAAAAATTTTTTTTAGAGACAGGGTCTTGCTCTGTCACACAGGCTGGAGAGCAGTGGCATAATCATAGTCCATTGTAACCTTGAACTCCTAGGCTCAAGCAGTCCTCCAGCTTCAGCCTCCCAAGTAACTAAGACTGTAGGCGTGCACCACTACACCTGGCTAATTTTAATTTTTTTTTTTCTTTTTTTGAGATGGAGTCTGGCTTTGTTGCCCAGGGTGGAGTGCAGTGGCACAATCTCGGCTCACTGCATCCTCCACCTCCTGGGTTCAAGTGATTCTCTTGCCTCAGCCTCCCAAGTAACTGGGACTACAGGTGCACGCCACCACGCCCGGCTAGTTTTTGTGTTTTTAGTAGAGATGGAGTTTTGCCATGTTGGCCAGGAGTTTTGCTGTTCTGGTCTCAAACTCCTGACCTCAAGTGATCCGCCCACCTCAGCCTCCCAAAGTGCTAGGATTACAGGCATGAGTCACTGCATCTGGCTTAATTCAAATTTTTTAAATTTTTTGTAGAGATGGTTCTCACTATGTTGACCAGGCTGGTCTTGAACTCCTGGCCTCCTAAAGCACTGGGATTACAAGCATGAGCCACCATGCCTGATCCACAAATTGTTCTACTGATATCATTTGATTTTGTTAGAATTTGGGGGGGGCTGTAGAAAACAAGGTTACAGTCTTCATTAGTATTTCTTTTTAGCAGTAACAACAAAATAAGGCAATTAGACCAGTATTCATTTGGTACAGTCTTTAAATCGGTCATCCAATTAACCTTTAAAAAGTAGGTTATGCTTTTAAATTGTATTGGTTCTTTAATATGTGTTATGCCAGAGTATGCTCTCAAATTTTATGTAGTTGAATTTCTAGAACAAATTTGGGGATATTCATTATATTTTTCCTTTTATATAAAATTGTGTAAGTACATTAGCTTGACTTAAATTATAAAAATATATATATATAAAGAAGAATGTAGACCCTATAACGTTTCTTGTCTTTGACTTTTTGGCTTTTATGTACCTAATTCTTTCTGATTGAGAACAGTTTTGAAAAAGTCATTCACTTGTTGGTTTTCATCATGGCAAAACTTTACATTTTAAGTCATCACACTATGAGAATTGTACACATTTATAATTTTTTTAAACTGTGTAAAGTAAGGATTTTTTCTCCATTCTTCACTCACAAAGGATAGCATTTTTATGGAACCTAGATTTACAAAGGAACTCATGATTCTTTTAAATGTTTTTATGTAGTTTTACAACTGATTAAGAAAAAATGTTTACATTTAATACAGCTGTATTTCCTAGTAGCTGTATAATCTTATACATTATTCTTATATAATTTTGACCTATTTTGTATGAAAATAATTGTGTTGGCATCTCTTCATAATTTCATTCTTTTCTCTCCTCCTTTTGTTCCAATTAGATGAATTTGGGAAAGGAGTAGGAAGACTATGCCTTCCGTCTGACTGTAATCAATCTCCTGGGTTTTTTACTGATTTAATCTTAATCCTGTGCTCCTCTTTAGTCATTAAATTGATATAGGATTACAGTTTTCTCTCAGGATCCAAGTCTTCTAAGAATGAAAATGTTAAAGTCTACCCAGAATCAGCCATCCTTGTAGACATTTCTATTTGGTTGATTTATAAAGATTTAATATATAAAGATTTAATATGAGTTAAACATGTTTCTTATTCTGTGATCTCTAATTAGGAAGTAAAATTCTGTTGACATAAATATAAAAGAAAGTAAAGTTTTCACTCAAACACAAAACCACTACATTACTTACTTCCTAAGACACAGTAGTTCAATCTGTTGAAATGCATTGAAGGATAATTTCCTTCAGATTACTTTTTTAATCATCGTCTGCCTCAGGAAATCTGTTATGTTCTTTCTTGAATATTTTTGTTGGTGTCAAAGTGTTGCTTATACTTTATGCTCATTTTATTGGTCACTGTCACCAGTTTTTCCCAATAGAGATTAAACAAGTTTTTTTACCTTGAAATAATTCAGATTTTGAAGATTCACTGTTTCATTATTTTGCTAATTACCATTAACTGGTAAAGTTAGTCTTTAAAGATTTTTTAAGGTTGATATTTTGTCATATTTCCTGAAGTAGGATGGATTACTTTATTATTATTGTAGCGTTAAGGCTTTTTGTTGTATAAGTCAGCTTGTTTGTATATGCTAAATTGCAGATATTTCTTTGTGTTGTGCTTATTGGTTGTTTTTTTTTTTTTTTAACTTAGAGCTTAATAATTTCTATTTTCTATCCTGGAGTCTAAAATTAAACAAAAAAAAATTTTCTAAATTGGCAGAATTTTTTTTTAATGATTAGTAAAAATGCATTATTTTATTTTTAAAAATACCATAGGATTTTGAGTGAGGAAACTTGATTTCTAGTCTTGCCTCTCTTTTGCAGTTAACTGTAACTTTGGACAAGGCATTTTACCTCGTGCTGCCTCCATTTTCTCATTCTCTAG